GAATAGGCTTTCCCACAAATTGTTAATATAGAAGCATCTACATGAATGGTGATCAGAAATGGAAATCTGTCCAAAGTCAAGAATGTCTTTTTTTTAATATATATATAGTCTGGTCAGATCAACCATTGAACAAAGAATGGTCTTAATAAAGCGGGAAAACTCCAACCCAGTCAATAAAACCAATAGAATCAGACCTTTCAAATCAATAACCAATAAAAACCAAAATAACAATAACCACTTCCAAAACACCTGACCAATGCCCTTAGGTATATATATAAGTATGTACAGATAAGGGAGAACTAAGGGGTGGATCTAGGTTTTGAATAACAAATTTAAATAAAAGTTAAAAAATATATTCTGGCAAGTTCTGTTACTTTATTTTAAACAAATCCAACACTATTACATAAGCATGATAAGTTCTTATCAAAAATATACTTCTCAAAAAAATCTTTTCATATAACTAATTTCAAAAGTGACATTTCTATGCCTGTTACATCAAAATAGATATTTTTTTCTTTTAAATCATCATGTCATTAAAATAATCACGGGTTATTGATTGAACCAATGGATTGGATTTATATAGCACAGTACAAAAGTTATTTAGAAATTAATAATTGCTGTTAACAAGTGATAATTACCACATAATTGATTAATTGATCTTCGGCGCGAACCGTCTTGGGGCGAAACGTCTCAGCGCGAATGGTCTTTCGGGGCGAACCGTCCCGCACTCAAAAGGCGCTACATCGATAATCTGCAAATTCATTAAAACTGAGTTGAATATATTCATTTGGGTCTAAAATGAATGATAACGAATGGATTTGTTATAATTCTTCTTTTTTCATATAGCTAGGGATAGGGTACTCCAAGGGTAATTTTGTATGGATAGTGTGTAAATAGTGCATATTTCAGAAAATAATTTCTTCTAAACCCAAGAAGATGTATAAAATCTAAACACATAATTACAGTGAAAATGGAAAGTGTAAATTAAATTTACTCTAATATTTTTGTGCAAATGAAGGATTGAAAAGATACAGGGTGTTAAAAATCTGGAATTTGTGAAGATGCTTTGTATGAGTGATCTCCCTTAGGAAATTTATATAGGTGGCGGTAGTTAAAAAAAATGGCGGCCTCCATGAAAAGCTGTACTCTGCAAAGTTATTTTGATGCATCATGTGATGTTCATTGCAAATATCCGTGTGAATTGAGTAAAAATGATTGAAAGGAATTTACAAGAACAGATTGGACATAGAGCTCGTGTAAATTAAGAGGAAAAAAATCAGTGAAACGAGAAAGTGTAGCTTGGGAATATTACTGTGATTGTGTTGATAAGGGTATCAGCAATTTTCCTTATTACTGACATCAGTATGGTCTATGTCGGAAGTTTAGCTTCTAAGTTAATCCACCAGAAGCCAAGAGTAAGCCCTCAGAGAGGAGTTGCAGTCCGATTGTGTCAGCTTACTCAACTTGGAGAGGGAAGATAATGTACCGGCGCCACCGGTACATTTGGACAGCTGTTTGAACAGCTTGATAGGTAGGATTTAGTTTAAATTCACTTCTTATATATGGTTATTGATATTTTATACAGTAAAGTATGTATTGGGAAAATTGTTGGGGATGGCCAGTTCCTACATATATCAATATCATGTCCATTTTGAAAAAAATGACATCTTACACATATATATGTTAGAATAATGTTACTGTGTCTTGGGACAGGCCCTGACCACAGTTAGAATGCCTTCCATATTCCCGCAATGTAGCAGAAAATGGTGGAAACACTCTGAAATGATTTTGGAGAAAATAAATGAAATTGCATTGAAAAATAACCGTCAAGTTAATAATAACAAAGTTAACCTTTTTTGTCACAAGGATACCTTTCACCCCCAAAAATTAATCCATATAATGTAAGAGTTCAACACTTTTTGTCAACATTTTTTTTTACACGATTCAAATTTACATGCCATGTTGACAGTCAGAAATCTCCAAATTGTTCAGAGTAAATGCATTGACCAGAGTTAGTTATGACACGATAGCTCAGTGTTTTTCTTTGAAGTTTGCCATTCTGTATTAATTAGCAATACAGAACAGGACTACAGAGGGCAGAGCTGATTTCCATTCTGTATTAACCCTATATACTGTCTTGTATTAGCCAACTATTCTGTATCTAAAATACAGCACAGTCTAAAAATAAATCTGATTCAATTTATCAAAAGCAAGTACAAATAGTAAATGCTGAGTTTTTTCTTATTATAAAATTTGGAGAAATATATCCCTAGCAATGTAAAATATCAAAATTTCTCAATTTTTAAAAAATTATTCCACACAGAATCTACACGTTATTTCGATCCAAACAAAAAGGAAAATTCGCAGTTATGGAAAGCATCCTATGTTTAATAAATTTCTGAAAACCTGTTTGCTTTCCCTGCTTTTTTGGGGTCCCCTTCAAAATAGTTAAGCCAATGGATTCACGGGTGCAGCATACATTATGTGAACTTCGCACAGTCCCCCCCCCCCCCCATTTTCCACTCTTCTCGTGCAAACTCATTCAAGTCCATTTTGAGCATTTTTTTTTTAACATTTCATCTTAAATTCTTATCGCTGACGACTGCCGCACATCTCTTTCTCTTTGTTTTTAAATTTAATGTCGCATTTCAATAAGAAAATAAAAATTTGTGACATCAAAGTTCATTGAAGAACTGTCTGTATTGCCTGCATGTGTATCTAGTTAAACTGAGATTTTAAGACACCTGAAATAAATTAGGATCAGTCTCCATCTACAGCAAGGTTAAATCATCCACCTTATCAATTAAGACAACATCTCCCCTGTTGTCAAACTAATCTGACTAAATCTTACGTTGTCCATGGAAATATATATCTACTGCGGAGGCATACTCCCCATCAAGGCCTCATCTACAGAGAGAACAAACAAACACTGGCAGAAGTTTGAATGCTGCACAGCTATAAAGTGGGCAGTGCTTTTTCTTGATTGATCATGTCACAAATCATTTAGAGAACTCAACAGGTTCTGTATTGTAGATACAAATCTGGGGGCGGAGACACCCCCAAATTTGTATCTACGATACAGAACCCGTCTCATTCTCTAAATAATACTTATTGCCAGGTTTGTTTTGCTACATAACCTTGCTAATACACATTCTTTCATTAAAACGGGTCTGTAGGAGAATATCATCTTAACAATAGAACGTTTTATCATCATATAAGACTTAGTATGAAACATTGTCTGTGCTCTCATCATTAATCAATACATGTCCCATACAACAACCATTATTTAACGTGGCCAGATTTAAGGGATTCAGTGGGAAGGCCCGGGCCATTAGCTTAAAAAATTCTTAGTTTGCAGTTGCCGACCTATAATTTTTAGAGTGGATAGGTAGTTGTTTTTTTTTTTTAAAATAAGTTATTTTTTCAGACTTTTATTAGATAACAATTTATAGAGATATTCATACTTCAAGGGTTACTTAACATAAATAAGCTTCACTTGATAAAAACAAAGATAAAAAATAGAACATTTTCAATATCCTGAAAAACTGAAACTTAAAAAAAATAATAATACAAAATGGCTGAAAAAAAAGTTTGGGTCAAGTTCATTTTCAGTGCGTGGGTAGGTAACTGCAAACAAATTAATTTTTATTTTAGGCCCCTGGTTTATGGTAATTCAAATTGAAAATGAACATGTAAATTTTACTAATTAAAAGAAGTAAATGCTTTATGTGATAGGTTTTGATTTTTTAGCTCACCTGAGCCAAAGGCTCTAGTAAGCTTTTCTGATCACACTTTGTCAATTGTCTGTTGTTGTTCCAGGTGTCATTGTCATCTTTGTTTAAAACTTTTCACATTTTCATCTTCTTCCAGAACTGCATGGCAAATTTCAACCATATTTGCCACAAAGCATCCTTGGATGAAGGAGATTCAATGTTGTTCAAATGAAGAGCCTTGCCCTCTTTCAAGGGGAGATAATTAAAGATTAGTAAAAATTTAATGAATCTTTCAAAAATCTTCCTCTCAAGAACCACTGGAACAGAAAAGATGAAACTTATGTGAAAGCTTTATTACATAATGTAGTGGGAAGTTTGTTCGGATCATGACCCCAAGGGATATGGATTGGCCGCAATAAGCAATCAAAGTTTTACATATAGAAATATATATATAAAAAAAAACTTTATCAGTCTTTTTCTCATGAAAAACTGGGCCAAAAGGATTGAAACTTTTGTGAAAAAGTGGCGGTAGCATGGGGCTTTAATGGGTGGTCAAAATTTTACTTTAAAAAATGTAGATACTAGGTAACAATCTTTAGAAATCTTCTTCTCAAGAATTAGACATACTGGTAGTATAGGGCCATAATGGGGGATCAAAGTTTCACACTAGATAGTGATAATTCTTCTTTTTAAGAACAGCAAAGCCATGATTAGTCATACAGATACATGTATATATTGAAGAATCCTCAAGTAGTGTAGATTTAAATCTGTTGAAATCATGAACCCCTGGGATAGGGTAGGACCACAATGGGGATCAAAGTTTTACATATGAATATATATTAGACTCAGGTGAGCATTGTGGCCAATTGGCCTCTTGTTTGCTCTACCCATGTCAACATGGCACTAGTCAGAAATGATAACTAAATAACAAAATCAAGTATGGACAGGAAAAAAAAATCAACCAAGATATAAAAAACCACCAAAAAGCTTGATTTATTTAATAAATATATATAATTTTTCAGACAAGGCTGTTTATGCACATTTTTTAACATTACTGATGGTATAATTTGTAAAAGATATATCACTGAAAATTCTATTAGTCTTGTCAAGCTATTGCTGACTTACATTTGACTGGCCCAACAACATTTTTAATCTGAATAGGGTTGTTAAATAGGTATATTTAGTTGTCTTTATACATGTACCTACTCTCTCTCTCTCTCTCTCTCTCTCTCTGTATGTCATATTGCATATAAATCTAGATGAAAAATATTCCTTGTTGTTTTTCAAAATGATCAAGAACTTGTTTGACTGAAGAGATAGAATGAAAAGGGAAGACCCAAAAGTGTTTTATAACAGGTACTGTGAGAGTACCGGGTATTTGATTTTGTAGTTTTAATTTAATCAGTAGCAAGATTACAGAATTCAGAACTGGTTACAGTTTAAATTGTAATATGGTTAAAACCTGAGACATAAATGATAGAAAATATGGTAAAGATATTTTACATATTTCATAAGTTAGTAATTTGAATTATATACTTTTGAAATGAAACCCTATATCATTTTCACAGAATGCGCAAGATGGTTTGCATCATGGTTATGAAGGAAAAGCTGACAGTATTTTTGAGACAGCAAGAAAAACATCATTGAACACCACCAACTAATAAGACTCCAAAGGTGGGGGACCACATGCCATGCACATGCAACCATTTGAGATTTTACATGAAATTACTGCATTACATACATGTAAACTTGAGATTCCATGTAAAGTAATTTATAAATTAAAAAAAAAAAACCTTTAATACCTGTAAATCAATGTAGAACAATGAGTTTTAATGTGGTAAATGATAATTATATGTAACTATTATTTTAGGAATAACAAAGATTAGAGTTTAAAGAATGGATTCAATGCTGGTACTTGGATAAAGATAATCAGGCATGGACTCTCATCTCCTATGGATCTTCAGCACCTTTAGGTTACAGTTTTATATTTCACTAGAAGAGACTCATAAATAAACAAAGGACAGTCAGTTACTACAAAAGAGAAGCATCGGAGATTAGTGATATTTTGTTCAGCATTGTTGCATCTTACAAAGATGTAAACTATTAAAATATTGTTTACATCTATCAATTAATGATTTTGATACATGTACCAGTAATTAATAATTTTGATGTGGGGTAAACTGGTAAAATTGAATGGAAAACAAGCAGATGACTTGGTAATGATGTGTAAAAAACATCATTCATTTAATTAATACATGCAATTGCATGCAGTTAAAATTCGGTCAAAATTCTTGTGGTGTATATTGAAAGGTGTAACCAAGAGGGAAACATGAAATGATTTTCATATTATCATGAAAATAAAAGTCAAGTTGTATATTATACAGTTATTTCTGTTTTTGAGGTCATTATAATGGTTTGGCTTGCCTAGATGTATGCATTCACCGATCCTAAAGAAGGAAGTAAATATTGTCCCTCGATGGTTGTTGATCAATATATTAACCCCCCCCCCCCCCCCCCCAAAAAAAATAAATAAATGCAATTTCAATTTTTGTATAATACCATATGTATCATACCCATAGGGTATGGTGTGTACAAAACAAGTGTGACCTTTTGATTTGGCTGTTGGACTTAAAAAAAAAAATTTAGGCTGAAAAAAACCCCTCAAAAATGGGATATGATACTGTTTTTGTAAATATGGATCGTCTCCCTTTTCAGCTTAAAATTAGAACATTTTACTGGTCATGAAAATATTTTGATTAAATGAAAAGTAAAATTGTGTTGTATTTCAAATTGGAAAATTGAGAAATTTTTTTGAAATGTCAATTTATTCTTACATGCATACCTGGTATATATTCATGATATGTGTATAGGGCATATTTTTTGTACTGTGACAAAAAAAGGGAAATTGCCATTTTTTATATGAAACTCGTCAATCATTTTGGGAAAATAATAATCATTTGCACAAAAATGTTTTAATTATTTTATTTTCTATAGGGTATGGTGTCTATGAAACTAGCATGGCCTTTTGGTTTGGCTGTAGGGTTTTTTAATTTTTTGATAGCTGAAAATCCTCAAAAAATTGATATTTTGCTGTTTTTGTCAATATGGATTATCTCCCCTTTTCAGCTTAAAATTAGAACATTTTACTGGACATGGAAATATTTTGATTAATTATGAAAAGTTACTATTTGAGCTGTATTTGAATGAGAAATAAACAAAAATGTGATTTATTGTCTGATTTTCTTTTAATTTCATATGAAATATTGATATTTTTGCCTATTTTTAGAGGAAATTTCAGCCATTTTTTACCGAAAACAGTCTAACTGTTGCCATGGCAACCAGACACAGAATTGATAAAAAATCATTTTATTTTTTGTAGTATCTTAGCATACTCTACCAACATGCAAAGTTTGAAAAAATTCTGAAACCCCCCATGTATCACCCCCTGCATGATTTTTACACGGAGCCATACTTAATTTGGAAAAGGTGTTTTTTCATGGGCGAGCGAACACAACTAATAAATAATAATAACTTGTTCAAACAATTATAATATAAGAAGACAATATACTTAATGCATAAATTTTCGTCAATTAACCCATTCAATTAAACAGATAAATCTATACAGGCACGTACATAGTATCGATATTTCGTTGGGGGGGGGGGGGGTTTCCAACTTTTGAACTTTCCACATGAAACGTTTTTTCATTTACTACAACAAAAAGTTTTTCAACATCAACTGTAAAAGGTTACGTTTGAAAAAAAGTGGGGAGCACCCCCCCCCCCGTAATATGCCACGTGCCTGCATTACTATTAGATGACCTAGCTAATCATGCGAGTTATGAACATGATCAGAATATACCCAGTGTAGATTCACATACAGTAGGGATTTTGAATCAATGTCATATACTGAAGACCATAGTCACCGTGCTATATCTTCGAAACTTTTATTGGAATGAATAATGAATGATCGTGATCGATCTTGTCCTAATACTTCCAAATTAAGGTACATGCATATATTCAATCCTCTTGATGCGAACCGTTGCATAAAGAGACCGGAGTTCTTTATATTGAGTCCACGTGTACCGTAGTCAAAGCCATAAAATACCTTTATCTCAGTTATACATATATACAATGTAGGTGTTTCGTAAAAATGCAGTTGTTTGTTTGCTTTTTTCCGGGGGGGGGGGGGAGGGGGTAGAGTAAAATTATATACTAATGTAGTTTAGTATTTTCCTCCTCTTCCCTAACCGCCCAATCACACCTGCTATTCTCATCACTATATAACCTCGGCAACATAAGGTCGTGACGAGTACTTGTTGGCAACTTAAAAATTAAGATGGAAAAGTTTAGTTTTTTTTTAATAGTAATGTACAAAGTTATACTTGACTTTGATTTGGCAGGGTCAAATTAAGTCAAGTATCTGGATTTTAAAATTATTTACGCAAGAATAATGTTAACATGTGAAATTGTTGGCTTTTTGTTAAGATACTCTCCCCTAATATGCTCTCCATTTTTCACGAATTTCACTCAATCCGATATATCAAACTTGAAATAAATTTAAAAGATTAATTCAAGACAAAATGGGGGGGGGGGTGATCTTGTAACGCTTTTCATTTACTTTGCTTTGGGTCAAATTTAGTCTAATATCTTGATTTTAAAATTATATACACATAGATATGTTAACAAGTGAAATTGCAATCTTTTTGTTAAGACGATGTCCATTTTTCAAGAATTTCACTCAATCCCATGCATACAATTCGTCAAAATAAATTTAACAGGGGTGAGGGTGTCCTTTTAATCTTGTAACGGATTTGTAACATGTTTTCAACATTTCAGTGCATAGTGATAGTGATATATTTAGATAACAGGTACCTGTCGAGGATGCCCCCTTTTTTAATGTTTTGTATTATTATTTTTTTTATCTATAATTTTCTTTATTTTAATTTTAATCTCTTACCACTTCATCTACATGCTTCTATTCAAAAATCATTAAAATTACGACCTAGATGAAAATTATATTTCTATAAAGCATTCGTTACCCATATATATATACTTGTATATATATTTAGTAAACGGGTGTTATTATGTGTAGATGAAGTGGTAACGGATTAAAATTTGTATATAGAAAAAAAAATTATTTAGAAAGCATTAAAAGGGGGTGCTATTCATATCAATGTTTCCAAAATTCGAGCTTTTACAAGATTTTGTTGAAGACAGATGGACAATCGTTTGGAAAAAAGTCGATCGTGATCCCCATCCAGTCAGGAGGTGGAGTGGGGGTGGGTGTTTAATTTAAGTGTATATATAGGTAAACAATTACAAAAATTGTTTACCATACAGTAGTTTCCAGTGATCTCTAAATTCCCTAACATTTAAACTTTTGAACTTTCACAAGCAGTGCAATTTTTTCTCACTTTCTTTGGAGAAAGAGTGTCATTCATTGCATTCGTTATCCGGTTTTGATCCGAGTAGATTAAATTTTGCTTAACACAAAAACACAGTTGTACTTCTCTTGAACATCAGAATCTGAATATCTTTATAGCTTTTTATTCACTATAATCGACGTTTAGCATTATTTACCATTTAAATCCCTCACAGTATTACATAAGTTTATTTCACTGGCATACAATATAGAGATTTATTAACTGGCACCAAAAATTTGAAGGGGTATAGAACAAACACAATTGTTGTGGGTGCACGAATTCAATCGTGACATATGGATATTTAAAAAGTAGGTTATTGAGCTCTGCATTTAGCAGTTATTATAATTAGCTGAAGTCTGATACACATTTTGAAATACCTGTAAATTATTGTCGTCATAAGTAATCTATATCTACATGGAGGTAAATTAAGGGATTTTTTTTTTTTATAAAAAAAATCAACTTAATTAAGTAAAAATGTCTTTTGAAATCAGAGAAAATTAACACTTGTTTGAACAATCCAAATCTAGGAGTATATCATTTTTTTTCATTTACAAGCTTTTGTTAATTCTTCGAAGTGTAATGTTAAAGGGGTGGGGAACGATGCCACACCGATCACCACAACGTTTTTTATCCATTTCTCCGGTATAATTACAGTTATTCGTAGTGTACATGGTACAGAACTAAATGTAGCCCTGGCAGTGTCAGTCACAGGCACTTGTTTGGGACATGGACCTCCAATTTCATATTTTTTTTTAAACTTGGGCCGGATCGTCACACTTTTTTCCTATTAATGTTTTCTAATGCTATCATACATTACATGTTATTAGGAAAGAAGTGTTGATCCCAGACCAAAAAAAAAAAAAAAAAAAAAAAAAAAAAAAAAAAAAAAAAGGAAGGGGCATTATGAGTGTCATCATGTCATTTTATTTTTTTAAATAACATGTGCTCTTTCCACAAAATGGATTTTCAAAATTAATCCAAAGGGGTTTGTAACAGTTATTCAGACAACCATTAAGAACCCCGCCAACGAAAGACCCCCCCCCCATTCATCACAGTTAGTGAGATACAATGCTCATTTCTTATGAATGCGTTATCTACACGAAAAAAAGCATACAAAGAATATCGAAAATAGGAATATTGAAATAATCATTCGATCGTTCTATTTTTCAACCTGTCATGGTGACGTAAAAGCAGGTTAAGTTTAAAGATACGTCACGGTGCTCTACCCGTACCCCTGTAGGTGGCCCCACAATGAATGACGCGTGCTATAGCAACCAATCAACGTTTACAAACAGCTGTTGAGTAAGAATGGAGTTGTGAAGATCAACATTGTGCACTAGATAAATTTTAAAAGCTGAACTTAGAAATTTTGGAACATTACTGAAAGTCTGCTCATCATGCCGGAGGAAAACGTTAAAGTTGCTGTGAGAGTGCGACCTTTCATATCCTTTTGTGATTTTTTTTTCTTTGGGAGATTAACCGCGCGCATCTTTGGATATGGCGCACCGGTTGGAGTTATATTAAATCTCTTAAACATACCAGCAGAATTATACGAAAATTATGTTTGCTTAAGCAGTGGTATTAGACTTAATTGGCGGAAGTTTTTTTATCACTAATATCGTCTTGATGATTTTTCCAAAGGCTGTGGTAAAAGGGGCACAACTCTGCATTGTCACAGACACTGCAACATTATGGTGGTTATAGCATATTCTGTATGTAACTGTATAGTTATAGGGATTTAAGAAAATTGTCAGTAAATATAGATTTTTCTCTGCTTGTTTGCACAGCTATTGCTAAATGATAGACAGAGATTTGCATACACCATGTACACTGTAGATCTACAGTATATGTAAGATTGACAGCTGTAATAAGTTTGTTATAGGTTTATAAATAGCATTTGATGTAAAGTTTAAGTAAGAATTTAGAATAACCTTTTTTAAGCAAAGGAAATAAACTATTCACCTCAATAAACTTTGCACTCAAAGTTCTAAAAGTTTTTGGGCTATATAAATTAAGCAATTGATTTGTGACCACACAGTTACTTCTTGTCAATGAATGAAATTGTAAAGCTGGTCAATTCACTGAATAATTGGTAATTCAACACAATTTGCACAATGTGAAGTAATCATACTTATTCATGCCTCGATTACCACACACAAGGTGGTGTACAGTTAACCAAACAATGGAAATACATCAATTTTATGCTTAAAAGTGTTCAAAAGCAGCAATATTTAAAGTATCTTTTATTTGGAATGCTTTAATTTTCAATAGTCCAGAGTACAAATATGCATAATCACATACTTGGGACTTTTTGTCTATTTCTTAAAAAAACATTTTTGTAAAAAACTCTATTCAAATTGCTTTATTAAGCTGTTTTGAATAGCTTAATTAAGCTATATAGCTATATCAAGCTATATATCTAAATCAAGCGATTGTTGACAGCTGTAATAAGTTTGTTCATATCGAGAATAATGTGTTCCTTAACACTGTTTACAATCGCAGAGAAAGGGAGCGAAATGCTACCCTTATCATTGATATGAATGGTCCCACAACACAGATTACAGACCCCGAAGCGAATGATGAACCCAGAAAATTTACATTTGACTACAGTTTTTGGTCACATGATGGAAGCAAAGAAGACGCCAATGGATACTATGGTCCTGATACTTCACACCCAAATGGAAAGAAATTTGCTGATCAGGTATCCATTTTTTCTCAATAAATATAGTGATATTAAAGCTTTTTATCTTTGATCTTTTTCAATTGAAAGGGATACAGAAATTGATATATATTGATGACTTTTAGAAAAAAGTATATGATTCCTTGGGAGTGGCAGTTCTTCAGAATGCCTGGGAAGGCTATAACAGCACATTGTTTGCCTATGGTCAAACTGGGTCGGGAAAAAGTTGGTCTGTTGTTGGTTATGGAATTAACAAAGGTTTGTATATATTTGTAAATGAATAAGTTACTAGTAATCTTAAAAGAAAATACAAAAAGCTGGAGCATCAATATCTCCAACAATTTTCCCCCTTTTCTATTTGATAATCACGTTGCAGAGAAGAAAATGTATTTGAAGAAATATCCATTAATGACATAATAAATTCTTAATGAGGAAAAAATTCAAAATTATGTCCTTGATGATTTTAAAAAATATATAATTAGGATCTGATTTAATGCAGTTTTTGGATAAACTAAAAAGTGCACAGTTTATACTTAAAAAAGCACCTTTTTTCCTTGGTAATAATTCAGAGAACTTTTCTGTGGCTTATCTTTTTTAGCTCACCTGAGCCAAAGGTTCAAGTGAGCTTTTCTGATCACATTTTGTCTGTAGTCCGTCTGTCCGTCCGTCTGTCTGTAAACTTTTCACATTTTCGACTTCTTCTCAAGAACCACTGGGCCAATTTCAACCAAACTTGCCACAAAGTATCCTTGGGTGAAGGGGATTCAAGTTTGTTCAAATGAAGGGGAGATAATAAAGAATTAGTGAAAAATTAATAGCATCTTTTAAAAATCTTCTTCTCAAGAACCACAAAGCCAGGGAAGATGAAACTCATGTGGAAGCATCCTCAGGTAGTGTAGATTCAAGTTTGTTCAAATCATGACCCCCGGGGGTAGGGCGGGGCTACAATGGAGGATCAAAGTTTTACATAGAAATATATAGGAAAAATCTTTAAAAATCTTCTCAAGAACAGCAAACCCCTAATTGGTCATATTTATATGGAAGCATCCTCAGGTAGTGTAGATTCAAGTTTGTCCAAATCATGACCCCCGGGGGTAGGGCGGGGCCACAGTGGAGGATCAAAGTTTTACATAGAAATACATGGGAAAAACCTTTAAAAATCTTCTTCTCAAGAAAAGCAAAGCCATGATGAGTCATATTTATATGTAAGCATCCTCAGGTAGTGTAGATTCAAGTTTGTTCAAATCTTGACCCCCGGGGGTACGGCGGGGCCACAATGGAGGATCAAAGTTTTACATAGAAATATATAGGAAAAATCTTTAAAAATCTTCTTCTCTAGAACAGCAAACCCCTAATTGGTCATATTTATATGTAAGCATCCTCAGGTAGTGTAGATTCAAGTTTGTCCAAATCATGACCCCCGGGGGTAGGGCGGGGCCACAGTGGAGGATCAAAGTTTTACATAGAAATACATGGGAAAAACCTTTAAAAATCTTCTTCTCAAGAAAAGCAAAGCCATGATGAGTCATATTTATATGTAAGCATCCTCAGGTAGTGTAGATTCAAGTTTGTTCAAATCTTGACCCCCGGGGGTAGGGCGGGGCTACAATGGAGGATCAAAGTTTTACATAGAAATATATAGGAAAAATCTTTAAAAATCTTCTTCTCAAGAACAGCAAACCCCTAATTGGTCATATTTATATGTAAGCATCCTCAGGTAGTGTAGATTCAAGTTTGTCCAAATCATGACCCTCAAGGGTAGGGCGGGGCCACAGTGGAGGATAAAAGTTTTACATAGAAATACATGGGAAAAACCTTTAAAAATCTTCTCAAGAACAGCAAAGCCGTGATGAGTCATATTTATATGTAAGCATCCTCAGGTAGTGTAGATTCAAGTTTGTTCAAATCATGACCCCCGGGGGGTAGGGCGGGGCCACAATGGAGGATCAAAGTTTTACATAGAAATATATAGGAAAAATCTTTAAAAATCTACTTCTCTAGAACAGCAAAGGCCTGATTGATAATATTTTTGTGGAAGTATCCTCAGGTAGTGTAGATTCAAGTTTGTTCAAATGTTGACCCCTGGGTTAGGGTGGGGCCACAATGGAGGATGAAGGTCTGAAAAAGATATATATAGGAAAATTTCTTCTGATGAAGAACTGCAAAGCCATGATTAGTCATTTTGATATGGAAGCATCCTCAGGTAGTGTAAATTCAATTTTGTTCAAATGATGACCCCCGGGGGTAGGGTGGAGCCCAATAGGGGGATCGAAAGTTTTACATAAGAACACATAGAAAAAAATATTTCTTCTCAAGAACAGAAAAGTTATGTTTAGTCATATTGATATGGAAGCATCCTTAGGTAGTGTAGATTCAAGTTTGTTCAAATGATGACCCCCAAGGGTAGGGCGGGGTCACAATGGAGGATCGAAAGTTTTACATAAGAACATATAGAAAAAATATTTCTTCTCAAGAACAGAAAAGCTATGTTTAGTCATATTGATATGGAAGCATCCTCAGGTAGTGTAGATTCAAGTTTGTTCAAATGATGACCCCTGGGATAGGGAGGAGCCACAATGGGGGATCGAAAGTTTTACATAAGAACATATAGAAAAAATATTTCTTCTCAAGAACAGAAAAGCTATGTTTAGTCATATTGATATGGAAGCATCCTCCCCCCCCCCCCGGTAATGTTTTCAATACTGGATTGATTTGTGCTTTTGCCTAGCCAATGTGCTCAGGTGAGCGATGTGGCCCATGGGCCTCTTGTTTAATTGTTTTACTCAGGTATTGTGCCCATGTTTTGTGATGATGTGTTTAAGCAAGTTGAGGCAAAGAAGGCAGAGGGTGACAAGACAGAATTTGAAGTATGACCAAAAAAAAACAACAACAATGAAATTAAATAAATAAATAAATAAATATGAAATCATTAAACAAAAAAAAATAAACCAATTAATATCAAGAACATAGATATTTATGTAACACACTAAAAAAAAAAGATTTTTTTTTCAATGTACACTGAATTATTATATTTTTTATATTTATTATGACAGATCACATTTAGCATGCTAGAAATTTACAATGAACAAGTTCGTGACCTTCTTGACAGTCGAACCAAGAAAGGGGGACTGAGAGTTAGACAGCATCCAAAACTGGGATTTTATGGTAAGATATGGGTTTTTATTTTTGGAAAAGGGGGGAGGAAGGAGGGAGAGAGAGAGAGTAGTCCAGTGAATATGAGATTTGTTTGATGTGAAATTTTAACAGATGGTTTAATTTCAATTTTTGTGATTGCAGCTGAAGGTCTAAAGATTGTACCAGTTCAGAGCTACACAGACATTGAGGCGAGGATGGAGGAAGGCACACAGAATAGGACTGTGGCCTCTACAAACATGAATGCCACCAGCAGGTAACAGCTAAAATACCGCAATAATGGCAGGAATCCTAAACATACTGAAATTACTACCTCAGCAACCTAATTTGATCTTGACTACTATATTTACTTCAGCGTAGTAAAGTATCTTCATGTTCAATATTTGACAATATTTGTTGTGCAGTGATATTAATTAAATGGATGTTAGTCCAGAAAAGGAAAGTTCAGTGCAGAGAAAGAAATTTTAAAGGATAAAATTTTGTTGATTTGTGATTTAAAATGATTTTTTAAGGGGACTTAATTTTATCATTTATTCAGTAATCATACATGTAACCTAACAATTTCTGGGTGAAAATTTCATACTGGATTTAATTTTGTTGATAAATTTTATTAACAAAATAAATGAAATTGAATCACAAATGAATAATTCTGCTCATACAATGCTTTGTTCATTTAACATGTTGAAGACAAGTACTTCAATGTTAATTAACTGAGATACAATATTTTATAAAAGTTAAAACCTATCATGGATGGACTGTTGATTAAACCATTTTTTTCTATATTTTAGTCGTGCCCACACCATTGTTGGAATCACATTTATCCAGAAATTCCAGAATGCTGCAGGAGAGGATACCACAAAATCAGCGGTCACCAATCTTGTCGACTTGGCTGGCAGGTAAGATGATAAAATGAAGTTTATTGGTGTTTGAACCAGTGTCTAACTTAAAAAAGAGGAACATTGTGCCAGAATGTAAAAAGTAGCAGCTATAATAAATAACTTTTCATTTTAAAGAGTTCCAATAGTAAGTTATTCAAAAATGGTTTTTATAGCTGGTATAAAATGAAATGGCACGCTTATGTTTTTTTGAAATTTCTTTTTATGGATGTGTTAAATGGTTATATAATCTTACATGTTCAAAAATGTAAACAAGCTTTGTGTGTGAAACTCTAAAGACGAGTCTTGTGTTCTTAGTGAGAGAGCAGAGAGCACCGGAGCCACAGGGGACAGGCTGAAGGAGGGAGCTGCCATTAATCAGTCCCTGTCATGTCTGGGTAATGTGATCGCAGCTTTGGCAGACAGATCCTCTGGAAAAAATACTCGAGGTGAGTCTTAAAAACACAAACAACTGAGAATCTAATGTTTGTAAACAGGATAATTTCTTATTTTTCTTCAAATCATTTTGTCACATTTCTTATGTTTCATTCCTTCACTTGTCATAATTAAATTTAATCATCATGCAGATATCAGGAGAATCTGTACCTAAATTTCCTGACTGATTCAGAACTTTTGTTACTGTATTCAGTACAGAATCACCCAGATACACAGAGGTTGGGGTTATTGATTAAGAATTGATATTTCAGTTCCTTACCGAGACTCTGTCCTGACCAAGCTGTTGAAGAATGCCTTGGGAGGAAACAGTAAGACCATCATGATCGCAGCTCTGTCTCCCGCTGATATCAACTATGATGAGACCCTGTCCACCCTTAGGTACGCAGACAGAGCCAAGCAGATCAAGAACTCCACCTCAGTCAATGAGGACCCTACAGAGAAATTAATCCGAGAATTACAGGAGGAAAATGAGAAGCTGAAGGCCATGTTGGCCTCGGGTAAACTGGAGATGGTGGCGGGTGAAGAAGATGAAGATTTAACAGAAGAGGGTAAATTTAGATCCTTTAATAAAGATCTCAGATTTGATATTTTATCATAATTTCTAGAGTCTGAAGGAGGAGGGAGGGGGTTTCCAAAATAAGACGATGCCATAAGAAGTATCTCAGTTTTAGCCAGTATCATCATTATGAAATCTTTTAACCAATCCCATAAACATTTGCTTGTTTACTAAATTAATGAAAGTTTATGTGAAAACCTATGACATCACACAAGGGGAAATTACCTTCAAGAGCCAGGCTCTTTTAATAAATAATATCCAAATTCATACACTTTGCAGATTTAGTATCAACTACATTGTGTTTTGTTTTGGTTTTTTGTTTTTTTTTAACTGTTTCAACGAAAGATTTAATGTGGTGACACATTTTTCAAACCAGAATTTGAAATATAAACTTTTGTGATTTTTATAAGGCAATTAATTACAAGCCTCGGAGTATTATGAAATTTTATTAATTTGTTCGACTGTAATATCAATCATCTTCAAATTTAAACTCCAATCAAATAAAAGAATAAATTAATGTCTTTTTAAAAGGAACATCCTGTCTTGGTGATAACAGAGAACACCTGAATGCAAAAAAATGTAATTTGAATTCACAGTTGATATTGGCCACCATTGTATGAGGTAAATATTATTTCTGTTGCTTTGTAGAGAAAAAACAGATAAAAGAAGAATTGGAAGATCAGTATAAATCTATTCTTGACAAAAATGCACAAGAAATGGAGGACATGAAGAAGACCTTTGAGGAGAAACTCAAGGAGGCTGAGCAGAAAGGTGTAAGTAGACCAGTACAGTTCATTTCAATTAGTTAAGTACATGATCAAAGAGGTAGGGGAGGGAGGGGGAAGGTGTAAGTAGACCATTACAATTCAATTCAATCAGTTAAGTACATGATCAAAGAGGTAGGGGAGGGAGGGGGAAGGTGTAAGTAGACCATTACAATTCAATTTAATTAGTTAAGTACATAATCAAAGAGGTAGGGGAGGGAGGGGGAAGGTGTAAGTAGACCATTACAATTCAATTTAATTAGTTAAGAGGCAGTCCACTGAAAAACCAGGCAGTATTGTATTAATATGCGGCACATCGAATGTGAGGAATATTTGATATTTTATTAAAAACAATATCAATGTAGCCCAAAAGGAATAATGTAATTGAAGATTCGTTTGATAATTGCTTATTTAGTAAAATATCCTTGTGTTTTGTGTTTTTGAATGCCCCTATATAAACCATTGAATGTAGGTCAGAAACAAAGAACTGTAATTTCTAATACATTTTTAACAGGACTATAACTCACACTTAACTAAATCTAGAAATATTTCAACTTTTTGTTTAAAAAATAAAATCGGTGGGAAAAACACTTTTGATAGTAGTTTTCTGGCAAAATATAAGGACGTTTTTATGAAATTTTGCGATGCAAGAGTTATCTCCCGTGGCATCGGTAAATCTGCTCAACACCTTTTTATCGGAATTCTAGTGAAATATTTAGAATCGATACACTAAAGAAAATAATTAAACAAAAAACTAAATAATTTATTTTCAAAATATAATTCATTTTCGCCTCCAGACGTAATATTTAGATTAAAATTGGCTCTATTATTCAGGTTGAATCCACGTTTCCGTTGATGTATCAGTGACGTCATATACCTGACTAATATTGCGTCACAATGAAATAGTTACAAGTTTCCAGAGAAGTTTGTAAATTCTTTGCGTAAAAGTGTAAAGAAAAAGATTTTTAAAAAAATGATTTCTCTTTTTCTGTTTAATTACTCTTCAGAGTGCATTATTCTAAATGTTAAATAATATTTTAATATCAAAATGTATTTTATACACGGGCGGCGTCTCAGCTAGATGACGTTTTGATAAGTAATTTTATACATGTCTGAGAACTATTTTTTTTAAACTGATATACTAGGATATGCGTAAAAATAATTAATGAAGTGTTTATCATGAACATTTCTTATAAAATTTGGAATCATTGATGAATGTTTTAGATTTACGCAACACTTAATTCAACGAAGTTGAGATGTTTACTTCATGATATTTGTAAAAACTTAAATATATTTATCTATGCAGTCAAATCAAAATAAACAATCCGAAGTACGATTAAAAATGAAAAAAAAACCCTGAAAAATAAGTTATAAAAATATATTTATTGAGTTAAACTACTGCTGAACTCCCCACTATAATTTGGCACTAAAACGGAAGATGGTTTAGTGAAACATTTCGTTGTTTTTTTTTTATTTTACTTATTTATTTTTTTAATTTGGCGATTGAAACAATCACACACTCACATTTAATATGGAGTTTAAACATGTGACTATGTTGGCCAATTCTAAAATGTTTTCACGTTCATGAAACCAATTTTTAAAAATAATGATGTCATGACCCCCCCCCCCCCCCCCCCCCCCCCCCCCCCGCTTTTTGCTTGGGATTTATCGGCTCTTGAATAATGATACTATATATGAAAGAACTTATTTTCTTATTTATATAAAATCAAATTTTGTAAAAGAGGAAAAGGCTTTACAGATGACAGGTAAGAAAAAAACTTGGATAAAGTCGAGACTGTACACATAAAAATATTTCCTGTATTTAGGCAAGTTTAATTTCGCCACTGATAGAATTTACTCTTTAATTCCTGAGGAAAAAAAAGAAATTTTACTTGGAAATAAGATAAATAATAAAGCTAGAAAGCTGTCTGCTCTCATTTGTTGCATAATGCATGTACAAATACTTTTTTTAAATACTGAGTATCTATTAAGAATTCAATCAGATGTTTTACATGTAATCTTCATGTATGTAAAAGACATTAGTAATTTAAATAATATATAAATTTGAATCTATGGTTACACTCATTTAAAAACAGTTAACTGACTGAAAAGAAATAAAAGACAAGCATATTTTTCTGATAAATTAAAATGAAGAGCCAAATTTAGGAAATGTTTCTAAATTTACTGTAAAAACCGATCCCGATCCGATCGAAATAATGCAAAATTAACAAATTTATCAAAATAAAGGCACCTGCCACCTATATAACATGTTAAAAAAATAAATCTAGTAAGTTTTTACTCATATTACAACAAAAGAGCCAAATTTAACATTACAATTATAGTATTTTTTTCTTTATATAATTCCGGTCGGGATCGGTTTCATTTGGGAAAATTATAAAAAAAAAAAAAAAAAGAAGGTAAATTTGACTCCTTTTATTTCTTTCAATATACCTGTTCCCACTGATTTTATTGAGTGATTCAAAAGTTTGTACTTTGTATTCATAATAACATAAGAAAAAAAATCTGTCCTTGTAATGTATTGGATTTTATAACGTAATGAAAATTGGATACTGGATTCAAAAAGTTACTTGCTTAACTCAAATTTGGACCATATAATTTTTTCTAAAGAAATATAAATTGGAGTCTTATTCATTAATAAAATAAAAGATAAGAGTCTATGTTATAAATAATATTCATCACATCCAGCTTTTGAGTATTTGTTACATATAAAACAAAATAAAAACGTAGTAATTTTTTTACCCTTATGTTGACCTTTTTGCACTTAAAATTAAGCATTTACCAAAAATAGGACTAGAGGAGCACTAAAAATTTTTTTAATGTTGTCATGTGTAAACACTTGCTTTAATAAGTCTACATGCAAAAAATAATTAAAATCCATGACATGTGATGTGCCACCCATTGCCTGGTTTTTCGGTGGACTGCCTCTTAAGTACATAATCAAAGAGGTAGGGGAGGGAGGGGGAAGGTGTAAGTAGACCATTACAATTCAATTCAATTAGTTAAGTACATGATCAAAGAGGTAGGGGAGGGAGGGGGAAGGTGTTAGTAGACCATTACAATTCAATTCAATTAGTTAAGTACATGATCAAAGAGGTAGGGGAGGGAGGGGGAAGGTGTAAGTAGACCATTACAATTCAATTTAATTAGTTAAGTACATAATCAAAGAGGTAGGGGAGGGAGGGGGAAGGTGTAAGTAGACCAGTACATGATCAAGGAAGTTTAGATGGGCGGGGGCAGAAAGTGTGAGTAGATAAGTACTTGATAAAAGAAGGAGGGGAGGGGGACAGAAAGGGTGCAGGTAGACCAGTACTTGAATGAAAATGTCAGCTGGGAAAATAATGAAATTATTTGAATTCAATGACTCAATGTCTTAAGAATGAACAATGGAATAAATTGTCTTTCTTACTTAATTGAATAAAAGAAGTCTTTGTTTTAACAGAAAATTTCTTATAAATTACAATGATTCAGGATGACAAACAGATTTATTCTTTAACTGTCTAATATTTCAGGGTGGAGGAGGTGGGGCAGACTTCCACGCCATTGCTGAGAAGAAAAAAACTGTCCCCCACTTGTCTAACCTGAACCTTGACCCTCAGCTATCAGGACACATAAGCCATTTCTTGGAGGCCCCCGAAATTTGCCTGGGATTTGAAGGGGACATTGTGTTGAAAGGGCCAAGGTAGGAAATCATCGAATAATTTACTGTAAATTACTTTTTATTCATAAGAACTTTTTTATGTATAATTATTTGAGATTGTTTGCATGCAAAATTTCATCCTCGCGTATATTTGTATTATTAAAGGTTACAAGTATATCCAACTAGACTTAGTGGAAATTTTGTATCGCTTATAAATACTAAACAACTTTCCTGCAAAAATAAGGGGTCAGGAAAATCTGCTGATCTACAGTATTTTGTACAAACTACTACTCTTTTGTGAAAAAATGTTACAATCTAAAAGTTTTGGATTTAATCCCCCAGAATTTACATTAATTGACTAAATCATCAATTTAGTTTTAATTAAAATTACAATACATGTATTCCAGATAGAAATCACTAGGGTATGTGTTTTGTTCCCGGAGTCATGCAAATATATATGTATGTGTATTCCAACATTGTATGAAATTTAAAACTGATGAAAATAGCTAGCTGAATCTAAATACATGTACTACAGGGTTGCAAATAATGGCCATGTGGGTGCCCAACTTCACAAATTTTACTAGCCCACATTGATATTTTTAGGGCCCACAATTTTCTGTCCAGTTGGTAAAAAAAAAAAATCTTGATCTTTGTTTGGTATTGTAATTCTTAAAAGTAGTACATGTACATGTATTTGTTATCCATATTTTTTCCTTTTCCTGAGTATTTAGACCCTCTTTAATAATTTTCCACATTTTACTTCACAATGTTGACATGAGTGAGGGTCTAGAAAACTTTAATTAGGTGGGAAATAGTGGAAACAAAAGTGTATTTAAAAGTAGAGTCAAAGCAAGGTCAGGTTCCAGAAGAGTTAGGATAAAATTTTTACTTGCCTTGTGGACGATAAAATCCTGAAGAGTTTGTCACCCACAGACAAAATTTATTTTTTACATGTACTTGCATTTGCCACTGGGCAAGTGGTTATTTGCAACCCTGAATATAGTCTGCATATTATCATGTACGTGTTCATGGGATGTATGATATTCCAATTTACTCATTAGTGGACCAATAATGTTAGAAACTATATTTTAGTTATGTCTGACAAATCAGTCTAGTTGCATGTTTGTATGTACATATGGCTTTTTAAACATTGCAATATTTATTGAGAGAAGCATCTTCAGTTTGATTCACTGGAGATTTTTTTTTTGTTGGAAAATTCTGCTAGAGATGCAGTACCTTAATTTAATCAATAATTATTGCTTATTTTGTTTGTTAATGTGGGGATAATTGTTGCAACATTGCAGAAAAATGCATAACCTGCATAAGTGGGATATATAATTTTTTTCTGCCATGATTGTAACTGTTAATCCCCAGATTAAAAAAGAAGGAAAACCATTTTATGGTTTATATTTATAATCTGCATATGAAATTCAAAGGGTAAGTGTAGAATTGGGGGAAATTTTTTTAAGCTATTTTCTGAGTCATAAAGGAAAAAAAAAAATTTTTAAAGAATCATAAAAAACTTTCATTTAAATACTTGTTTAATGTTGATAATCAATTTCATGTTAAATTTATATACCATTTATAATTGACATTGTTATTTCAAATTTAGTGTTGCAGCTAAACATGCCATAATCAGAAATGATGGAGGGAAGTTCACCATTGAACCATGTGATGTTACTAACAGATTGTTACAGAATGGAAAGGCTGTGGTGTCAAAACAACCCCTCAACCACAACGACAGGTACAAATTAGAAATAAATACCCTATTTGACTTGTTTTAGTGGATTGAAATTGTGTTAGTTAGATATGACATAAGTCAACACTTTCCATTCTTTCTTGCATATAATCAAGAATTTAATAGTAGTCATACAATTGATGTTAAAAACACTTAGAAAATTATTCACTGTGAAAGAAGTTCGTATTAATGTTCATTGTTTAGTATACATTTTATGCAGTATATCATACACCGCACTTCATAAAGATGGGACAGCAGAGTTTTCAGGAATCCTAATTCTAACGTGCATCCCTCTATTATAGATTGATCTTTGGAACCACACAGTACTTTGTCTTTGTTAACCCTAAACAGAGAGATTCCTCCAAAGAGAAGTATCCAGAGGTGACATTTGACATGGCTCAAGAGGAGGTGGCTAAAAAATCGGGATTTGACATGAGTGGAGAAAACAAATCTAGAGGTCCGTAATTAACTTCAATATCCATAGACATTATCAACCACAGTTTTGGAGATAATTGTTTTTGTGCATTTCAGTAGTAATTATACTGTACTTTTAATGACAGATGATGCTCTGCTACAAGAGGACATGTTAGAGATCATGCCAGCAGTAGAAGAAGCCAATGCCATCAGTCAGGAACTGGACAAAAAGATGAAGTTTGAGTCAATGATTGTGTCCCCCGAGGCACGGGGAGAACAGACTGGTAGGACTGAGGTCATGATCAAGGCCACAAATGTTGAGACCAAACATGAATGGATCTGGCCAAAGGTCAAATTCATGAACAGAAAATATGTGATGCAGGAGATGTATAATGACTTCTTGGATGGGGACGATCCCTGGGATTTACCCCCTGTAAGTTCACATTATTTCTTGGATGGGGAGATCTGTGGGATTTACCCCCAGTAAGTTATCTTGTTTTTTGGATAGGGAGATCTGTGGGATTTATTTCCTGCAAGTGAACATTTTTTTTCCTGGATGGGACAGACTGTGGAATTTACACTCCTTCTAAGAAAAAAAAATTCTGTTGAATGTCAGGATAAGATTTTCTTTCTTTAGTGCTTGGTAAATGGTTAAGAACTCTGTGATAGAATATAAATTGTCTGATAATCTGAGAATGCTTAGATATTATTCATGTGTATTATGAATTATTGGAGTGATATTAAATTAAATTCAATCGTTATTCCCCATGGTTCATTTAATTTTTTTTAAATGAAGCAAGATTTATTACATTATATTAACAGGAAATGTGACATTTTTTGCATTTGTAGGGAACTTCACAATGTTATAAAAAGTAATTTTTTTTCTAGGAGAAGGATCCGTTTGTTGATGACATCAATGCAGAATTTCACATTGGCAGTGTGAAAATCTGGCTACAGTCAACTTCATACATGGTGAGAACATTAATTTGCTTATTTCTACACAGTGTATCTTGGAATCTTAGTTGACTTCTAGATTGAGGATTTCTCATGATTCAGTTTATCTTAATCAGCAGCAAAATGGTGATGACATTTTTTTGTTGTTGTTTTTTTGTACAGATAGCTATGAAGGAACAGTTGGATATTATTGACTACCGTGGCTATGAAGTGGGGAAAGTCAATGTAAGTTACAGATCACAAATGTTTGTGTCAAATAGGTTATAAAGATTAAGTAGTATTTCAGAGCAATTAGAAATCTGTCAGAATAAATATATATATGTAGTGCAAAGTACTTTGTCAGAAAAGTTCCCCATTCTGAGTAATAATTTTGCACCTTTCACACATGCTTTGTTTTCCCTATTTATGTAGATGGGCAATCTCTATCCTTAGAGTTAGTTTCAGAATCTAAATGTGCATTCATTAAATTATCAAGTCCATGTTGGAAAATGGAATTTGTTATTTTGCTAGAACACTGCATATGTTTTTAAGACTTGCATATAGTTGTAACTGATACTAAGTGTATGTTTCTAGACTTTATTACTCATATTGATTTGTATAACTGATATAGAGTATACTGTTATCTTCTAGATGTAGTACTGATATTGATTTGTATAACTGATATAGAGTATACTGTTATCTTCTAGATGTAGTACTGATATTGATTTGTATAACTGATATAGAGTATACTGTTATCTTCTAGATGTAGTACTGATATTGATTTGTATAACTGATATAGAGTATACTGTTATCTTCTAGATGTAGTACTGATATTGATTTGTATTTAACTGATATTGAGTATACTGTTATCTTCTAGATGTTATACTCATATTGATTTGTATAACTGATATTGAGTATACTGTTATCTTCTAGATGTTATACTCATATTGATTTGTTTGTGTTACCAGATTGAACTTGTTCCCTGTGACAAATCTGGTAAAGAAATATCTGAGGATGAAGTGTTTGTTGAGGATCCCTCAGAACTTGTAGGTAAAGATGTCTACTTCAAACTGAAACTGGAGAATGCCATGGGCCTGCCATCCAAATTCACTGTAAGCTCTAATTCCTGTTTTTATGTTAAGTGCCAACACATATAGTTAGATTTTCAAACATTAACCATAAAAATGAGGAAAAAAAGAAAAACAGAAGTAATAATAATATCAAGAAATTAAAACATGTATGTCAATTGTTCCTTATCTTGATGCAATAAGCCTAAATATAAGGAGTGAAAAACTACATTCAGCCCATTGTTTTATTATTTGGAGAATAACAGTTCAGCAGATTGTTAGAATTATATACATCAGTATTAATTTGATGATGTAATTTTTTGACAGGATCTGTATGCCAAATATATTTTCAATCATGAACAAAAACCATTTGAAACCAAGAAGTTGGGCAATACCATCAACCCCCAATGGAAATTTAACCAAGTTCATGGATTTGCAAAATGCACAGCTGACGTGAGTGATAGACTTTCTTTTAAATTTATTCCATTGTGGAAATCTTTGGTAATTTACCATCATACAATGATTATTTAATGCACATGTGGTTAGATTTTGACTTCATAGAACATTTAAGGAACATAAAAGGATAAAAGCACTACTTCATATTTAAAAAAAAAAGAATATTGACTACTATTACAAGCATGGCATGGTTCTTCTATTTGTATTTTTCTCCTCAGGACATTGCATTCCTGAAAGATGGAGCTATCATGCTGCAAATATGGGGAAAACAGAAGCCTCCAAAAGAGAAGAGAACTGTGAACACTAAGGATGCCCTGGTTAAAGGAGCCTTAACCAAGGGTCAGTCTCACAATGTCAATACAAACAACAAAAAAGTGGACCCAGAGAAGGTCAAGTACATGGTGAAATGTGCAGTGTTGGAGAAGAAGACGCAGCACCTAGAACAGAAACTGGTGAGGATTAAAAGATTAACTCTCAGTATCCTGATTTATCCTGATTTGGTTTGAGTTTATCAATTTATTTTGAGTATCCCTCATTCCCTGTTTGGTTTGAGTATCTGGATTTGGTTTAAGTATCTCGATTTGGTTTGAGTATCCCAATTTGGTTTGAGTATCCCAATTATATGGAATCCGGATATGGCCATGTATTTCACTATTGCATCATTACACTTTCAAGGTTTGGGTTAATAGTGCGATGACGATGAAGCGATGGTTGGATGACGACAAGCGATGATGTGGTAGAGCGATGATAATAGTAATGGTGCGACATTGCCATTATGATGATACGATGGCATGATGAAGTAATAGCGTGATAGCGATGACACAATTTTGCGATGATGATGGTATAATGACAATGAAGCAATGTTCATTATCGTTCCATCATGCTATCGCACCATCACTTCGTCGTAATCACACCATCGCTTCATCATTATCGTGCCAACACATTATTGCGCCATTGACCCTTTAGTGGATGCTCCATGGTGTGAAAGTGAACTACATGGCCTTATCCGGATTCCATACAATTAGGTATTGGATTCTAGAAAATACATTTATATGAAGTCAGTGCCACCCTCATCACCTGTCTTGTGTCAGGATTTTATAACTAGATATTTAAAAAAATGGGTTGGATTTTTTTGGAGAAAATAAATTTTGACAATCTCTTGATCAATATGATATTTTTGTTCTTGATTATGACTTGTTATGATTCTGTCCACTGTGGGTCATATTAATGTGGAGTTATAGTTATTGTGTCTGACAATTTGTGATGGTCTGACTGTAGGCAGCCATGAAGAAAATGTTGGAGGAAGCAAACAAACACAAGAAGAGGAAGCTCACGATTGAACTGATCCAGAAGATTTACCACGCTCCAAGTAGTGATGCTGCAGAGAAATGTATTGCTCTTATTCCACAGGAAAAAGGTAAATAGTTGGTACGTATTTTAGGAGGAATTTCTCTTTTGGTATTTAATGACTTGTTAGGATTTAGAACTGGATCAGTCCCTCTTATTCACTGTCAGACTGCTCAGCTGGAGTGACAAGGAACGAGAACTGACATAGAGAGATTGATATTGACCTTCAAGTTAATGACTAGAAACTCAGTCTGTGTAACTAAAGTTAGAAACACACATGTACTTTGTACCTTATTTAACTTTTTACCAAAACAATCAGATTATCTTTAAGCAAGCTTTCTTAGATCTTAAACATTTCAAAACTTCAAATATGAATAAGATGGAATATATATTATTTATCTTAAGTGGTTTAAGGAAGAACTGAATTTGATAATTTTCAAAAATTATAGATGACACTTCATCTGAATCGTCTACATCTTCCTCGTCATCTTCTTCATCTGATGAGGAGAAAAAGAAATCCAAAAAAGAAGCTAAGGAAAAGAAACCCAAAGCAGTATTAAAGAAAAAGGAGAAACCAGCCTCGGCAAAATCTAATCGGTCATCTCATAAACCACCAAGTAAAGCACGAGCTCAAACCTCTGATGCCATCCGAGGCCAGAACAAATCCAGCTCATGTGTACTCTTATAACTGTTAATCTGGGTAAAAAATTGGATTGACCTTCTTTTTGTTTGACTGATATTTTATTTTTCCGTCCATGTTTTAATTAAAATATTGCATAATTTATTTTCACTTGCTAGATATTAACTTATTACTCCAGATGCTTTGCTCAGTTTTTTTTTATACTGTTGTGTTCTTCTTCATTTATTAGATTCACTTTTTACATGAACACAATTAAAATGTGTATTTTTTTAACCTGTATTTATAAGAACATTTTGATTTGTTTAAAACGTACATGGTATATTTAATATATGAATGTAAAGCATTTCAATCATATTTTTTTTTGTCTTAAAAACTTTTTATAACTTGAATTTGTTTCAAATTTTTTTTCAGTTAAACATATATTTTGATTGAATTACATGTAAGCTAAACTGTAAGCTATACAATGTACAAAAATACACGTACCTAAAATAAGATTTCACAAGATACTTATTTAATTTGGACATTTTTTATTTTTGTATCTTAAAGAGGCATACATGTATATTTCTTGTCTCCTCTAAAAATAAGTCTCTTTTTCATTTTTGTACATATTCATCCTTTTTTTCCGTGATATTAATGCTTACATTTGTAAACACTTATATGTCACTGTGTAATTTACTCTTCGAGAGATTGATTTTTATTGAAACTCTTCTTTTTTTTTTATGTATTCTGTTGAACAGGGTATGTTTGGTCATTTATTTTGGAATATTGGTAAAATTCTGACTGGTAATTTCCAGAAGGGTACTATACATCTGTATTATTTTAAAGTGAACCACTTTTATGTGATTTGCTTTCATAATGAATCACTAATCATTTAATGCATTTTGCACAATTGTATAATCACCCTGAGTGCAATCCTTTTGTTATACTCCTAGTTTGTGCATTGAAATTAGCACTTAATGCAATTTTGTAACCAGGAATAAAAAAATTAAGTTTCAGAAACCTTTCTAGGTAGAGATTTGTCTTGATTTGCTGCAATGCTTATAAATATTTGTTGTTTAGGAATGGTTTAGTTAAGGTTGTTGGAGTGTTATGTTGTAAATTACTGTGATACTTTCACCTATGATATCCTATACATCTGTTATCAGGATTTATTTTTTAAATATGAATTGAGAATCGTCCAATATTGTTATTTTAAACAACTGAAAATGTTTTCTGCTGTTAAAATAAATCATATGATAGACATTGCCAAAATCATGTCTGTGATTTTTGATTGTTACTCTGTTTAATGTTAGCATTCTAGATTAAAGTTTTTATAAACCACACACAAACAATTTTTGCCCCCCCCCCCCCCAAAGGGTTGGGGGTGTGGTATTGCTTTTCACGGGTGGTGTCTGCTCAGTATCTTGAGAACCTTTCACTTTACAAACACCAAACTTAAATACACAGGTTCCTCCTGAAGATGAGATGACCCCTTTTGGTTTTAAGATCACAAGGTCAAGAGTCAAACTACACTATACATAGGAAGATATTGCTCTTCAATATCTAGAGAACTTTGCTTGACAGACATCATACTTGGTCCACTGGTTCCCCTTAAGAGTAGATGATCCCTATTGATTTTTAGGCCACAAGGTTCAAGGATCAAACTGGACAAAGGAAGATATTGACCACTCAGTATCTTGAGAACCCTTTGCTTGAGCAACATCAAACTTGATACACTGGTTAATCCCTTAAGGAGTAGATGACCACTGAAGATTGTAAGGTCACAAGGTCAAGGGTCAAACTACTTTAGAAATAGGAAGATAATTATCTGCTCAATATTTTGAGAACCCTTTGCTTGACAGACATCAAACTTGGTACAATAGACATTCCCCTAGGTGGTAGGTGACCCCTGTTGATTCTTCAAATCATAACCGCTGGTGGTAGGGTGGTGCCACTATTGGCAATCAAAGGTTTACATAGGAATATGTGGAAAAAATCTTTAAATTCTTCTTCTCAAGAACAGCAAGGCCACGTCATATTTAGACGGAATCATCCACAAGGAGTGTAGATTCAAGTATGTCCAAATCATGACCCCCAGGGTAGGGTGGGGCCACTATGGGTGATCAAAGTTTTTCATAGTAATACATAGGAAAAATCTTTAAAATTCTTCTTCTCAAGAACAGCAAAGCAATTGTTAGTTATATTTATACTGAAGTGTCTTCAGGTAGTGTAGATTCTAATTTGTTCAAATCATGACCCCCAGGGGTAGGATTGGGCCACAACGGCCAATCTAAGTTTTACATGAGAATATATAGGAAAAATCTTTTAAAGTCTTCTTCTTCAGAACAGCAAAGCCATGATTAATCATATATTTATAAAAGTAGTTCGGATTCAAGTTTGTTCAAATCATGACACCTGGGGGTAGGGTGGGGCTGGGGGTAGGGCGGGCCCCAATATATTATCTTAATTTCACCTAGGAATATATTGGGAAAAAATCTGCTGATAAAGAACAGAAGGGTAATAGTTACTCAGGTGAACGTTGTGGCACATGGACCTCTTGTTCATATTTCATATTGCCACACGGAGAGGGTATGTTTCTCAAGCATAATTTTAAAAGGAGAGGTGTATTCTTGTCTGGATATAATTTTGATGTCAACCGAGTTATAAAGTTATGTCCAGACAAGAACCTTGCTTTTTATCCCCTCACAACGACGTTACTATATATATCCTCTCAAATCGAAGTTGGAGGGGATATAGCAATGCCCTTGTGAGTGTGGGTGAGTCATAGGGGCTTGCTTTCAGGAATCAGGATGGTGTATTTTGTGTGTTTTTCTATGTCTGTCTAAATACACTGATTATAATAAAAATCCAAATTCGCTGAAATACGTAGTTTAAACAAGGTGTGTTTGTGAAACAGTGATGCCCCTTTATGACAGCTCATGGTAAAGGTTAAAGTTTCTCAAATGCAAGTCAAACTCCAAGGTGAAGGTCAAGAGATCGAAAATATTTATACCTAAAGAAAGGTCTTTTCACAAGGAATACACCTGTAAAATATGAAAACCCTGGCTCCAACCGTTCAAAATTTATGACCAAGGTTAAAGTTTTTCAAAAGTAGGTCAAACTTCAAGGTCAAAAGTATTTGTACCCAAGGAAAGGTCTTATCGCAAGGAATGCAAGTGAAGTATGAAAGCCCTAGCATCGACTGTTTAAAAGTTAGGGCCTAGGTTAAAGTTTGGCCTTTTTTTTTTTTTTTGCAAAAGTGGGTCAAACTCCAAGGTCAAGAGGTCAAATATGTTGGTTTTGTCACAAGGAGTACACATGTGAAATATGAAAGTCATATGAAAGCCATAGACCCAACTAATCAAAAGTTATGGGCAAGGTTAAAGTTTTAAGGGACAAAGAGACAAACAGATTAATAGAAAACACGGACGGACAGAGCAAAAGCTATATGCCCCCGAATCTTCGAGTAATTGTATTTTAATGTTAATGAAAAGTACGGAAGCGTATTAGTCCCAAGTACTATTTTTTTAAAGTCAGTAATTCCAACGTTAATATATTGGCTTTTTCATCTTTAAGAGACTGAAAGAAATGGATTGCAAACATGATTATAATATCTGCATTTAAAGAAGAAAAAAAACTTGTATCTAAAATATAAAAGAAAACTGTCTTCATTACTACAAAAATTGAATATCACTACTTTGTATATTTCTCACACAAACCTGAAAAACAAACTACAAGAGCATTACCAAAACCAAGATACACGAACAACTGAAATAGATAAAAGTGAATCAGACTCTGGAAAATTAGCTTTTTATAGAAACAGGCCCGTAGAAAGCAATTTCAGTCGGGGGGGGGGGGGGCAACCATACATTTTCAGTTGGGGGCACTATCAACTACCAAAAATTCCTTGACAAGCAAAAAAAAAAAAATTTCATCATATTATTGAGGGGGCACAAGCATATATAGTAGCTATGTTTTCTATAGTATTCTATATATCGGCAAGATTATTGGGGGGGGGGGCACGGTCCCCCATGCCCCCCCCCCCCCGGTTCCTACGGCCATGAGAAAACTGGGAATCAAAATGAATACAAACTGCAAAATACCGAAACTCAAAGCTACTTTTAAAAAAATGTGACAAAATAAAGAATCAGCAATGTATATTGAAACAGGTAGATATATTCTAAATCCCCTATTCTTTATTTTCACCAAATTATGTGTCTTGGTCAAACATAATATTTAACCAAACAGATATCACTCCTTTACTGAGAGAGGCACCTATTTTAGCAAAGATGTTTGAATTTTGGAAAGAAAAAATTTGTTTGTGAATTTAATATCCTTAAGCTGTATTGATAAGTGATATCAATATTATAAATTTTAAAAAAATGGATAAAGATTTATTTTCACGACAAAATGTCACGAATTTATAGCTTTGAAAATTGCAGTCACGCGCAAAATCTCCCATGAGAATTTTCAGAAGTTGGCATGTATGTTCCTAGAGAAAAACGTTTATGCTGCATGTTCAAATAGAATAACCCTTATTTTACCTCTCTGAGTGCTCCACGAAAGATAACTCTAATATTTGGTCATTGCCACGTGTGAACATTGTAGAAGGTAAACATGTCGCAAGAAGACGAGAAATATATGGACGAGTTTGACAAATACAATATAGAGCAGGACAAGTATGTCCACGGCAAAAGCGGGAAAGGTCGTACCAAGCAAGAGGCCGAGCAGAACAAACACTCGGGAGAACACACGCGCAAAATCGCCGAACATCTTATAAACAGCGCACATAAATCGGAAAAGGAACCTACTGGGCCAGTACATACCAAAAAATAGCATGTCAAGGTAGGTGGGATTAAAATTGGCCTTTTGATTAAAATATATGATCTAGTAATAAAATTCATGTATGCTCTAACTTGAGCTGTCATTGGTAAGAGGAACCTTCTAGAGAGAATGTTCCAGACGTGTTTGTTTAGAACAATATGGGTCGAGTATTGCGTTTTTGCCTATTTTAAAGCTTCATTTTGTGACAATAACCGCATGGTACTGAGATCATAAGTGTTCATTATTAATCAACTGTCAGTCAAAAGTAGGCCTCCTTCGGCACTAATTTATATGATACGCACATTTTGCTGCACGACATACATGTAATAATAAGGAAACGCATATGTATACGACAGGTGCTTGTTTTTAAGCTTAAGTATTTTATATTGCACACTTGTGCTTGAGGAAAGACCCCCTCCCGGTATATAGACCCGTGGGCCGGTTCGACTTTTTTCTCATAAATTATCTTTCAATGACATTTTGTGATATATAATCCATACCATCAAATGGAAAACATTTTGTATCAACCCCACACTATATATAGATTTATGTATAGTGTGGGGTAGATTTTTTTTATATAATGTTTGTTTTTTTTCGAATTGACGGTATGGATTATATCATAAAAAATATGACATTGATAATTTATAAGAAAAAAAGGTCGAAACGGCCTGCGAAGGGGGGGGGGGGGGCAAGCACCTGTGACATCACACACAAATGATTCTTCAGGGACAGCGACCCTCTGATAGGAGAGATAACTTTCCAAGTAAAAATACTAATATTACTCACGGTTCCCTTTATCAGAGTTTAATTATCGAGACCTTTGAGTAATCAATTTGATTAAACCAAATATGTGTTGGAAACATTGTACTTCTATTTCCTTTGCCTATACTTTTCAGTTTTATTATATTTGACAAAAACATTTAAATCCAGTTTTAAAACCCCTACAAATTGAATAAGTTAATAAATACATTTTTAAGGATCATTTTAAAAATGGTTTAATGTATCAAGTACCAAACGTAGCATTTTTATTAGTATTACATTTTTTCCCACAAGAATTTAAATATTTTTATAAGAAAGATAACTCTTGCTAACAGATGAATTGTTTTCTTACAATCACATATAACATTGAGATATTCTGACTTAGGAAGCAACTCTTTATTATGTTTTCTAATATGAATTTAATAGGTATGACAATAAATATTATTTTCATATACACCGCATATTTTTAATTTTATGTTGTGATAATAAATTATTACTCTTCCTATTCTCTGTTTTAAAATTTCTTCATATTATGATCTGACATAAAAATCAGTACTATTTTTTTCATTTGAATCTGATGCTATAGCTCTTGATCAAAATCAAGATAAAATGTTGGGAAGTTAAAAAAAAAATTTCGTGAAATTAAGAGCAGAGGGTCATTAGTCCTTAATAGTGAAAGGGGTAAACATATGAGATGATTTAATCTTAATGTCATTTTATCCCCCCCCCCCCCCAATATTGTTATATAACATTTCAATACATGTACATCTTTTATCAGGAAATAACCAAGATCTTATTAGATTTTATACGATAATTCATGAATAATTGAAGCACATTAGACGGTAACCCCTCCCCCTTTCTTCACGTGATGCCTCCTTCGAGCATCTGTAGCGCCCGTATTCTCCTGTGCTGGAGTATCCTTCTCATGGGAGTATTATTCCACTCTTCCAACAACGTGGCCCTCCGCTTGTCGAGGATAGCAGAGGCATTTCAACGTCTAATTCTTACCCCCCCCCCCCCCCCCCCCGAATCGCAGTCATTTACATTTTCAGAGAAAACGCGATAAATTATCTAACAACCATAATTATATGGCATGCTTAATATTTTAATTTTCTTTCATCTCCGTTTACGGCCTCAAAACGGAGTGCCTATTTGTTAAACGGAATAAACTGAACAGCGGAGTATTGACACTACGGACCTGAAAGAAAATAAAAACACACATGCTATATATGGTTGTGTACATAAATTATCGTAGAAAAGAATGGTTATGAATAGCTTGCCAATGCATTTTCTCTGAAAGTGTAAATGACTGCGATTCTGGGGAGGGGGTACTCCATGTAATTCGGTAATTCTATAATTAATTAGATACCTTGTGTTATTATGTAATATACAACGTGTTAACATTTTTTTTAACAGAAACAAGTACATGTGATTTGAACTTACCTTGATATAACGGCAGTTTTCCCTTCTGATATAATGGAAGTCCCCCCCCCCCCCCCGTGATTTAAGGGCAGTTTTCCCATCTGATATTTTAAAGCATCCCCCCTCCCCCATGATAAAACGGCGGTTTTCCCCCCTCTGATGTGACGGCAGTTGTCCCTCTTTGATATAACGGCAGTTTACTCCTTCTGATTTAACGGCGGTTTTTCCCCCTCTGATATAACGGCAGTTGTCCACCTCTGATATAACGGCAGTTCCCCCCTCTGATATAACGGCAGTTTTCTCCCTCTGATGTAAGAGAAGTTTTACCCCTCTGATATAACAGCGGTTTCCTCCCTCTGATATAATGGCAGTTGTCCCCCTTCTGATACAATGGCAGTTTTTTGCCTCTTTTATAAGAGCAGTTTCCCCCCTCTGATATAACGGCAGTTTTCTCCTTCCGATATAAAGGCGGTTTCCCCCTCTGATATAACAACAGTTGTCCCCCTCTGATATAACGGTAGTTTTCCCCTCTAGTATAACAACCATTTTGCCCCTCTGATATAACGACAGTTTTTCCCTTTGATATAACGAGATTCCCCCATCTGATATAAGGGCAGCCCCCCCCCCCCTCCAGTTTCCCCTTCTGAAATAAGGGAAGTTTTCCCCTCTGATATAACAACAGTCTTCCCCTCTGATGTAATGGCAGTTTTCCCCTTTGATATAAGGACAGTTTTCCCCTTTGATATAAAGGCAGCTTTCCCCTTTGATATAAGGAAAGATAGGCAATTAATACTTGTTTTGAAAATCGGTATAAACAAGAGGCCCGTGGGCCACATTGCTTCTCACCTGAGCACTTTGGTTAGAGAAAAACAGAAATCAGTTCAGTTCTGAAAAGTTTAAATATATAAATAGCCCCATCTTGGGAGTCATGATCTGAAAAAAAAATATACGCTAGTCCAGAGGATGCATCCATATTCATGTGACTAATCATGACTTTAAAAGAGATTTTTTATAGATTTTCTATAACTTATATATATTCCTATGTAAAAGTTTGATTTTCTATCGTGGTCCTACCCCTAAGAGTCAGCTTGAATCCACACTACCTGAGGTTGCTTCCATTTTAATATGACTAATAATGACTTAATTTTATGTTCTTGAGGAAAAGATTTAAAGAATTTTTCTATATATTCCTACGTAAAACTTGATTGCTATTGTGACCCCCAACTAGCCCCGGGGGTCATGATTTGAACAAATTTGAGTTCACACTACCTGAGGACCCTTCCATAAAAAGATGAATAATCAGGACTCTGCTGTTTTTGAGAAGACTTTTAAAGATTTTTTCCCTATATATTCTCATGTAAAACTTTGATCGCCTATTGTGGCCCCACCCTATCCCCCCGGGGGTCATGATTTGAACAAACTTGAAGTTGAATCTACACTACCTGAAGATGCCTCCATATAAATACAACATCTTGGCTTTGTTGTTCTTGAGAAGAATATTTTTGAAGAAATCCTCTTCACCCAAGGATGCTTTGTGCTAAGTTTGGTTGAAACAGGCCCAGTGATTTACGAGAAGTCGAAAAATTTGAAAAGTTTACAGACGACAGACAAGAGACGAACGCTGGAAACTTCCATCAGAAAAGCTCATTTGAGCCTTTGGCTCAGGTGAGCTAAAGATCATGTTTTTAGGGTTTTTTTTTTTTTTTTTTTTTTTTTTAAATTTATAATAATATAATCTTTATAATCTTAATTGCAGAATTATTACAGATCAGAACGGACTAAATCATGGAATAAAAGAGACAGAATTACTGAATAAAGACACTAGAATCAACGGAAAGAAGAAATGACAATTGATTGTAACAAGCAGCAGAGCTGTTTATAAAAAGATTACATTGGTTAGGGATTTCATTTTTTCGCAGTCGCAAAAATTTCTATGCATTTGATTAATATTTGTATTATTTATTTTATTTTCTTGTATAAATGTTGTGTCTTGAGAAAGAAAATATTTGTTGGGTTTTATAATGTTAAAAATGTTTTCCAACATTTTCAGTTGTTTTGTTGTTCAGTGTTTACGAAGAACTGCGAACGCTTACTCCTGATTCCCGCCTACATTTTATACACCCATAATTACATAATTCAACATATTTGACATATTAACTGCTAAATTAATACAATTGTTAAGTAATTAATTGCTGATAAATACAGTCTTTACAATGAGGGGTGTATTTTTTTTTTATTGAAATAATTTATTGGACTTGAAAAACGTAACCGGATTTTAAAATCCTGAGTACTCAAGGATTTGGATAAATGACCTCTTAATCTTTCAATTTGATAAATTTATGTAAAATTAACTTTATAAAAGTTTGTAGTTCGATTTCTTTTGAAATTGGTCATAAAATAACCATTTTCGTTGTATTTTGGTCTGTAAACGTATCACCCCCCCCCCCCCAAAACAACAAAAGCTGTGGTATGAATTTGCTAAATAATTTATCAAACCTATAAAAAGGATTTTTCTTGTTTCACGGAAGGGGAGTGTTTCACAGGCACTTGGGGTCTGGACCCCCCCTTTTCCATTTTTTTTTCTTTTTAAATATGGAGTCGATTCACCCTTTTCCTATTTTTGTATTCTAATATTCTAATCCAGTGCACATTTTGTTGATGTGCACCAGCTGGGACGGAAGTGCCCGGTATTTTCGGGTATCATCATTACATGTAATGTAATTCGGAACATTAAATGCGAGAAGGAATACATCCCGAATTTTCTCTTCATATAACATGTAACGGTAAGTTCTGTGAATAACAAGATAACTTTAACTAGCAAATTTCAATGGATGAAGATTATACTTTAAATAGACGACCTAGACAACCAAATTCCACAATATTGTTATTACAAAGCCTGGAATTTTTTTTAATGCAGAACATTTATAAAGTTAGAGTTACCGTTATTGCACTTCCGTCCCAGCTGGTGCACATCAACAAAATTTACCCTAGATGCGGATGATTTAATCGAAATATTTACAAATCGGGGGCACATAAAAATTAAATGGAAATATGAAAAGAAAGAAGAATGTATAACGAATTTATTGATGTATGCATATTCCATGTTTTCTTATTCTTTCGATAAATAATCAGGCGAAGTTTAAGCGAGGTGAGGCAGACGATGAGAAAAGAGTTGCAAGCCTTCTCTCTTTTTAATATATTCGATCAGTGCATATTATCTATTCAAGATATATTACTAAAGTCAGGTACTCTTCACACAATTGCTCCGAAGAAAATAGTTCCATTCATGATCAGTAGATACAGAATTACAACAAATGTTAAGAATAATGATGTATATTTAATACGTTAAAGAAAACAAAATTAACGTAAAAAGATTTTAAGAAAATCACTTTTCCCCCAGAAAAGGAAATAAAAAGTTTTCATATTCCTACGCTCGCTGCCTCCTCAGTCTTTTTCACGAAAATATATATCAGATCATATGTTCATTCTTAGAAACATAATTGAAACATACTGTCAGAACAGAGATGGTCGCTTATACACGTGCTTTATAGATTTTAGAAAAGCATTTGACACTGTAATTCACTCAGGTATAAAATATAAATTGCTTAAGTTGTGTGTTGGAACAAATTTTTATATGCTTATTAAAAGTATGTACAATAATAGCAAGTCATGCATTAAAATAAAAAATCACCACACAGATTTTTTTCACAATAAAACTTGGTGTAAAACAAGGTGACAATCTCAGTCCCAATTTGTTTAAGATATTTATAAATGATTTACCAGAGTATCTTAAAGATGCAAATGACCCAATAATACTGAATGGTAAAAAAGTACATTGTCTAATGTATGCAGATGATGTAATATTACTGTCACATTCATCAACTGGCTTACAAAGTAATCTTGATAAATTGCAAAAATTCTGTTCTGATTGGTGTCTAAAAGTTAATACTAATAAAAGTAAGGTTTTAATCTTCAATAAAGCGGGAAGAACTCTTAAACATAATTTTATTTTTGAAAGTAAAGAAATAGAATGTGTGTCTTCTTATAGGTATTTAGGAATATATTTTAATGCAGCTGGAAATTTCTCTAGTGCTCAAGATGATTTGTACAAAAAGGCAATGAAAGCATACTTTAAATTGCAGAAAGACTTTTTATCATTACAACCAAGCATTAGAACATCTCTTCATGTCTTTGATCACACTATCAAACCAATATTACTCTATGGCAGTGAGATTTGGGGAATCTTAAATCGCCCATCTTTGTTTAACCGTAACACTATATCTTTGCATGATTTTTACTCCAAACTAAAGTGTGAAAATCTCCATATGAAATTTTGTAAATTTATCTTAGGTCTTCATAGAAAGTGCTCAAATTTTGCAACTTTGTCAGAACTTGGTAGATTTCCATTACACCTTGATGTTGTAAAAAATATAATGAACTATGTGAATAGACTAGAAAATCTTGGGACCTCTTTCCCATTATTGAATGCAGCATACCTTCAAAGTAAGCTTAATGCCAGTACATGTAAATCGCAGTCATGGTATGGTATAGTATGTAAATTTCTTCAAATTGCTGGATTAAACCATATTATTACCATAAATAAACCCTTATATTTCAAGAAAATATGCAAAGAATTATTATATAATCATTACACAAATGAATGGTACAATATGAGAAATTTACAAAAAGGAAAACTTGAAACTTACATAAAATTTAAAACTAATTTGGTTTTTGAAAATTACCTAGCACTGTTATCACCTGAACAACGCAAAGTACTTGCAAGGTTGCGGACATCAGCACATAATTTACCAATAGAACGAGGTCGTTACTTAGGGATTCCCAGACAACTAAGAATTTGTACAAATTGTTCTTCTCACCAAGTTGGAGATGAAATTCATTTACTCTTTGAATGCCCAAAATATAATTTACTTGGGCAAAATATGTATGAAAGTTATGGCATGTCAAACGTTGCAATATTCGATCTTTTCCATTTGTATTGTATAATTTTCCATTTATATTCTATAATTCTCCATTTATATTCTATAATTTTCCATTTGTATTGTATAATGTTTATTTGTATTCTTTAATTTTCCATTTGTATTCTATAATTTTTCATTTGTATTGTAAAATTTTTATTTGTATTCTATAATATTTCATTTGTATTGTATATTTTTTCATTTGTATTGTATAATTTTTATTTGCATTGTATAATTTTCCATTTGTATTCAATAATTTTTCATTTATGTTGTATAATTTTTCATTTGTATTGTATAATTTTTATTTGTATTGTATAATTTTCCATTTGTATTGTATAATTTTCCATTTGTATTGTATAATTTTCCATTTGTATTCTATAAATTTCTATTTGTATTCTATAATTTTACAATACAAATGAGAAATTATACAATACAAATGGAAAATTATACAATACAAATGGAAAATTATACAATACAAATAAAAATTATACAATACAAAGGAAAAATTAAAGAATACAAATTGAAAATTATACAATACAAATAAAGATTATACAATGCAAATAAAAAATTATACAATACAAATAAAAAATTTTACAATACAAATGAAGAATTATTGAATACAAATGAAAAATATAGAATACAAATAAAAAATTTTACAATGCAAATGAAAAATTATAGAATACAAATGAAAAATTATAGAATACAAATGGAAACTTTTACAATACAAATGGAAAATTATACAATACAAATAGAAAATTATACAATACAAATGGAAAAGATCGAATATTGCAACATTTGACATGCCATAGTAAGTATACAACAACATTGTAAACAAATTTTACTTCTTGATAACATGAACAAATTAATATGGATATTGAATTGTGAAAATTATGATGTTCTTAAATCCCTTTGTGAATTGATCAAGGGAGAAATATAATGTGTCTTCTACATGTATATAGAATTTAAAAATTGTATACTTTTAACACTCAATAAATGTTAGTTTGGTCATAAGATAAGCAAACATGGTGACTTATAAAGTACCAATGCACTGTCCCGTGGTATCTTTTGCAATTTAGTGGAATATATCTATTCACTTTATATTTTTGTATATGTATATCTCTGGCTTTTTTGCATTATGGTACACGGTGGTACTTGTTTACACTTTACAATGTGTATTTCAAATTGTACATGTTAGCAATTATATCAACTTATGAACCAAGAGTAAATTGACTAAGTATATGTGTTAAGAAAATGCTGAATATTACTATTATCACATTTTGTGAATAATTATTATATTTATATGTTCTGTTTAATAATCATGTATGTAATATGCTCAAAAGGGCCCCGATTTGGAATAATAAATATATATATATATATAGGTCATCCTTCGACTGATAGTGATAAATCTTTTCACCAATTATATAACTGTCATGATTATTGTTCGTTAATTGCCGTATATTTTCTTTTGAGTGAGAATATTAATCATTAACTGTGTGTGTGTGTGTGTGTTTCTCTTTTTTTAAATAACGGAATGGTTATTATGTGGTTAAACACCTGCAATCGTAACTTCTCGGCAAAGCAACGTGATTTGCCGAGCTCGTCTAAAAGGATCTTCGCACGTGTGTAAACCTAGTCTATTTGCAAGCACAGGTATGTGCACCGTTCGCTAGTGACGCTTATAGATTATGTAGACTGGGTATCAGTATTTGCTACGGACATGAAGAAGAACTATACACCAGTTTCATAACAAGTGCAGGTTTTTACTCAAGCCCTAGACTGGGCTAGAGGGGCTGAGTTACCTAAAACGGTGCTAGGTCATTGATCTACTCAGTTTAAAAACACGAAAATATACTATTTTTGTAAATAAAAACATTTCTAGAAACAAAAATGAAGTTTATCTTCAAAACGTCTCTATATTCAAAATCTATATAAAGTGTTAAATGTCGGATTTTATTCTATGACGAAGGAATGTTCAGTGATGCTCCACAGCCGCAACCGATCTCGCGCTTTCCTTTGCGTTTAACAACGGCCGTCAAGGCATCTCTAGACGAGTTCATTGATTACTCTTGTTGACCCATCTTTAACATCTGTCTATACTTTGTGTGATAGTACTTTAATAGCACAAAATTAAAAAAATAAATTAAAATCTATCCTTGATAGATCTATAGTTTTGCTATTTTAAAAATTGGGCTATCTCTGATCTTTGCTTGGACTTGTTTCGAATTTTTACAGAAGACTCTAT